TTTTTTTTTTTTTAATGGGAGACCCTCTCTTAGGTTTCACTTGTTTATAGTTTAATTTTAAATTAAAGATTTTTAGTTAATGATTAATTTTAAATTAATTTTAAAAATTGGATCCCCCTCTAATTTAACAGAAATACAAGGTTGCTGTGGGGGGAAAAAGGATATTATAATACAAAAGGGTTTAAAGAAAAAATGGAAGAACTGGCACTCAGTTCTGTAGTCAGATCGTGCTATAAGGCTCACAAGAGCAACAATAAAAGCTGTCCCTTGTTTCTCCCTACGCCAGCCCTCTGTGCTTTCATTTTTTTGTCTATTTCTTCTGATACTTATCTTCATATTTCTAATTAACATGTATCTTTGTCTTGGTTTGTTAATTTCAGAACTTATCCACGGACATGCTGTTACAGTATTTGCAAGTTTAGCTCACTCTCTTACCCTTCACTGAAATGGGGTGGATCGCTGGTTTTTTTGTTAGGAACCCTCAACAAAAGAGCGTCTTCAAACCTCTTCTTTTTTTATGTTCACGTTCTCTGAAAGGATCCTCTGCTTGTCTTTCTGAGGGGTTAGACTGCAGGTGTTCTAGAGCTGGTGGGAGAGAGTCCTTTTGTATGCAGACTTGCTCTTGATCCCTTTATATTCACTTCCTTATTTTACCCCAGCCTTCCCTGTCCTCTTCAGTCCCAGGTCTGGGAGTACATTCATCTTGTCTCTGACACAAATAATTGTTAATGGTTTTTGAGCACTTGTCATGTGCTAGTCATTGAGCTAAGAACTGTATATATACTGATCTTAATTCTGTTAACAGTCTTCTGCCAGGTAGATAATATTGCTCCCATGTTATAGGCGAGGAAATTGAAGCTGAGAGGGTGTAGAACTTGACTAAGATCACACAGCGAGAATGTGTAATGTGTAGGCTTCAGGTTAAGTCTGACTGTTGAACCTGTGTTCTTAACCACAGAGGTATATTGCCTGCTAAGTTCCTCGGTAGCAGCGTCTCTTCTTTGCAAAATTTGGATAAATACTGGTTTGGGGTTTCTTTGTCCCTTCTGTTTTTCTTTCTTTTTTGTTTTTTAAATTTTATTTATTTATATATGTACGTATGTATGTCCCTTCTGTTTTTCATTTGTTCCCCCCGCCCCCCGCCGCCACCTTCCTGTGGGTTTCTTGAACATTTTTTAGAATTCCACTTTATCTGCAGTAGTCCCCCTTACCTGTGGTTTCCCTTTACGTGGTTTCAGTTACCTGTGGTCAACCGCAGTTAGGAAGCAGATGATTCTTCCTGACATACTGTCAGAAGGGCAGTAGCAACCTAATGCTACATCACAGCGCCTACATCGTTTTCACTTCCTGCCTTCACACAGGCGTTTTATCATCTCAGATCATCACAAGAAGAGTGGGTAGAGTACATTAAGAGATTTCAAGAGGGAGAGACCACATTCACGTACTTTCCATTACAGTATATTGTTAAGATGGTTCTATTTTATTATTAGTTATTGTTAATCTCTTACTGTGCCTAATTTATAAATCAGACTTTATCATGGGTGTGTATGTATAGGAAAGCACAGTCTATGTGGCGTTCAATACTATTAATGGTTTCAGGCATCCATTGCAGGGTCTTTGTATCTGCCATGGAAAAGAGGGAACCGCTGTAGGGGTGCCTGGGTGGCTCAGTTGGTTAAGCGTCTGACTTTGGCTCAGGTCACGATCTTATGGTTTATGAGTTCAAGCCCCTCATTGGAATCTGTGCTGACAGTGTGGAGCCTGCTTGTGATTCTCTGTCTCTCTCCGCTGCTCCCCTGCTCTTGCTCTCCTCTTTCTCTCTCAAAAATGAATGGATAAACTTTATTAAAAAATAAAAAAGTGGGAACTGCTGCAGGATATTTGTGTCACCTGAGTGGATACTAGGTATTATGTTGTGTACGCCTGATTTATCACCATCCACTGGCTGTTGACATCTTCCCAGTTCAAGTGAAGTGTCGAAACCTTATCTCTGTTTATCCTCTTTCATGTATAATTGTTGTAAATATTTCCTCTGTATGCTTTGAGACCCACATAAGACAGTGTTACAATTTTTGCTGCAAATATCAAAGCTAAAGAGAAAAAAATGGATGTTATAAACCTAAATTTTAATCTCTTCATTGTTCTTTTTCCCTCATGATCGAAGATTACTTCTTTTACCATTTCCTTTCCGTTTAGAGAACTTCCTTGAATCATCCTTTTAGGGTAGATCTTCTGGTGACAAATGTTTTGATTCCCTCTTTGTTCCTGAGGGATATTTTTGCTGGTAATAGAATCTGGTTTGGCAGTATTTTTCTTCCAGCACTTGCAAAATGTGTTCCTTGTACTTTTTTCCAGGGTTTCTGATGAGAAATCTTCTGTCATGTGAATTGTTCCCATAGATAAAATGTCCTTTCTCTCTTGCTGCTTTCAGGATTGTTTTTTCTTTGTCTTTAGGTTTCAGAAGTTTGTCTCTTTGTCTTGGAGTTGATTTCTTTGAGCTCACCCTGTTTGATGTTTGTTTGCTCAGCTTCTTGAATCTGTAGGTTTTATATCTCCTGCCAAATTTGGGAAAATGTCAGCCATTATTTCTTTTTTTTCTTTTTTTAATTTTTTTTTTTAACATTTATTCATTTTTTTGAGAGAGACAGAGTGAGAGCAGGGGAGGGACAGAGAGAGAAGGAGACGCAGAATCCAAAGCAGGCTTCAGGCTCTGAGCTGTCAGCACAGAACCTGATGTGGGGCTCAAATTCACAAACTGTGAGATCATGACCTGAGCCGAAGTCAGATGTTTAATCGACTGAGCCACCCAAGCGCCCCAGCCATTATTTCTTTAATACTTTGAAGCCCCCTTCTTTCTTCTCTTCTTTTAGGACTCTGATGGTGTGGATAGTAGATCTTTTATTGTAGTTCCACAAATCCCTGAAGCTCTGTTCATTTTTTAGTCTCTATTTTCTCTAATTCAGATTGGCTAATTATTATTCTGTCTTTCAGTTAATTGATTCTTTCCTCTTTTTTCTCCATTGGCTGCTGAACCCATCTATTGGGTTTTTTATTTTAGTTGTGTGCTTCACTTCTAAAATTCCCATTTCAGAGGCACCTGTGTGGCTCAGTCAGTTGAGTATCCGACTTTGGTCAAGGTCATGGTTCATGAGTACGAGCCCCACATCGAGCTCGCTGCTGTCAGTACAGAGCCCACTTTGTATCCTCTGTCCTCCTCTCTCTGCCCCTCCCCTACTTGTGTGCATGTGTGTGTGTGTGCACGGGTGCGCACTCGCTCTCTCTCAAAAACAAACAATTTTTTTAAATAAAAAAAAATAAACTTCCTATTTCAGCTCTTCTTCTCTATATCTTTTATTTCTTTGCTGAGACATTCTGGGGTTTTTTTTGTTTGTTTGTTTTAAGCATTTTCATAATGGCTTGTTACAACATATTTATGATGACTATTAAAATTCTTGTCAGATAATTGTAACATGTGCGTCTTCTCTGTGTTAGCATCTGTTGACTGTCTTTTGTCCTTCAAGTTGAGCTGTTTTTTGTTCTTGGGTTGATAGTGATTTTCATTTGAAACTTGAACATTTTGGGTATTGTGTTTTGAGATTGTAGAGGTTATTTAAATCTTGTGTTTTAGCTGGCCGCCTCTGACACTGTACCCACAGAGAAGAGAGGGTGCCATCTTGTTAACTGCCAGATGGGTTAGAAGTCCAGGCTTCTCATCTGGCATCATTATGCTGGGTGGGGTTGGAAGTTCAGCCTCTCCACTGGCCTCCTAGGCTGATTCCATCCTGGCTGGGAAGCATAGGAGTGTCTTGTTCCTCCTGTTCCCCATGTGGCCTCCACTTACACTGCAGTGGGAATCCTCATTACAATCTGGTGGCCCACTGAGCTTTATCTCACACCAACACAGTTAGTGGGGAAGGGTGCCTTGCTATACCCAGGCAAGAGTGGAGGTCTAGATTCTATTTAGACCTCGTTGACTGGGATGGAGGTGGGGCTGCAGTTTTTCGAATGGTGATTGCCGGGATAATTATTGCCTAAAACTTTTCTGTCTCTCTGGGCTGTCCTTTCCTGGTCCTTTGGCTCATGAAAGCACGCTCTTCTTGAGGCTTTATTTGTGTGATTCCATTGGTATTACTGGGTATTGGCTTCTCCATCACTTGGTCTGGGATATATAAGGCAAAATAAAATCCAGGGAACTTTCTGTTGTGGCATTCCTCATATCTTGTAGTCTCTAGCCAGTCTGTCTTTTCTCTTTCTCTGCCTTTGAGAGTCTTTTTGTTTGTTTTATATGTATTGTCCAGGGTGTTTAGCTATACTTAGCAGGATTCCTTTTTTAGTTATTTTAAATAACAGATACTTATTTTTACTGTTTTGTTTACACTGTGATGGTGCTGTTTCTGAGACAACCTCAGAAAGCTCAGATACTCTCTGCCCTCCCCCAAGGGGGGAAAAATGCTTGTTATGTCAACACTTAAGGGCTAGCAAATTGTAGACTCTTCTAAAATATTTGAGTCTTTTATTTCCTGGAGCCACTTGTAGTGTTATCTTGAGCTATTAAGAGCTTTTGTTACTACATATAAAGATGTCATGTAGACGTTCTTATTTATCGCTTAGTTGGGAAAGCTTGTTGTGGATTTGAGTGCATGTTAAAAAAGGAAATATTTTTGACTCCGGCAGCCAGGGTGGCGTGTGTGACTCTGCATTTTTATCCATGAGAGCGCTACAGTGTACTTTAACTTAGAATATGTGCTAAATTCTTTTTTTTTTCCCCCTCCAGCTGGAGTCGAGATGGTCATAAGCTCGTGAGTGCTTCTACTGATAACATAGTGTCACAGTGGGATGTCCTTTCAGGCGACTGTGACCAGAGGTTTCGGTTCCCTTCACCCATCTTAAAAGTCCAGTACCATCCACGAGATCAGTATGTTAATCTGCGCTGTTCTTTCCTGGGGCAGGGTCTGATTCTGTATGGACTAGCTCCAGGCTCATGACAATTTCAGTTTAAGGTTTTAGGAGGCAAAAGTACACATCTCTTCAAACCTTCTACATAAAATAATGTTTCTGTCTAGGTTGGCTCTCCTGAATAGATCTTAAGGAGAGTGAGTGCTATATAATTAAAAACTGGCCAATATTAAGACGTTGGAAGCAGGCAGAGGTAGGAATAAGTATAATAACGGGTCCTTGACCTGGAGCTTTCCACGCCTCCCGTCCCTCCCTACCCCTGACAGTTATTTGAATTTCTTTTGACCGAAATAGTTCAGTATTCCAACTACATTTAAGAAAAAGAGTTACCCACCATTCCATTACCCAAACATAACTGTTTTCATTTTTCTGGGTTCTCTATTAGTCAAGGTCTCTTTAAGTATAAAGCTTGTTACATCGTGCTTTATAGCTCACAAGGCACTTACGTGCGTATGAGATATACGTAAATATGTATTTTTACATGGTTTTAGTTAGTTTGTTAGTTACCTTGTTGCATACATATTTCTACTAGTTTGCTACCACTTCATATTTAATTTTAATGATTACATCCTGTTGCTGTACTCAGTTGTTTTTATTTCCCTGTTACTAGACACTTAGACTTTAGGCCTTTCCGCGTTTGAAATTTGCTTGGGCTGGGAGAGTTGATGAAGGTAGTGACAGGCATCAGGGAAAAGGGCAAGAGAATTAGCCTTCTGATACCAAAGCAACAGCCAATGTACTATTCATATTTTTAAACAGGAACAAGGTTCTCGTGTGTCCCATGAAATCTGCTCCTGTCATGTTGACCCTTTCAGATTCCAAGCATGTTGTTCTGCCGGTAGACGATGACTCCGATTTGAACGTGGTTGCATCTTTTGATAGGCGAGGGGAGTATATCTATACAGGAAATGCAAAAGGAAAGGTAAGCCTGGAAGGTAGTGAAATAAGCGTCCGTCGTTCATATTTACTTGTTTTGCTTCCTTTGACGTTTCTTTTATCCCTGGACTACGCATGTCTCCTGCTGATGGCAGATGTAGCCTGTTTTCCTCTCATGCCTTCATAATAATTTCTGTTCTTTTGATTTAGCGTGGTGAGGGATTAATTCAGCCTTAGGAAGGGGTGGAAGGGCCTTTTGCTGGATGCTAGTAATGGGGGGCTGTTACTCAATTATAAAAGTTAAGAGTCATAGCATACAGTAGAATACATCTGTTGAAAATGTTTTAATGCCTGGTTCTGTAAATCTTGTATAATTCAGGCCAGCTTAACGTATGGTTTTGTGGAGTAGAAGTCAGGTTTAGCTGGGCTTTCAGGTCCCTTTTAAAAGCTTAAGAGTTTGTTGGGGCGCCTGGGTGGCTCAGTCGGTTAAGCGGCCGACTTCGGCTCAGGTCATGATTTCGCGGTCCGTGAGTTCGAGCCCCGCGTCGGGCTCTGTGCTGACC